ATTTTTCTCCTTTTACCATCCTAGTTTAGGTTAATGACACAACTAGTCTTTTAAATCCTTCTCATGTTTCACCTACTTTAAGTTCATAATCATTTTTTGGGGTGGGGTGTGATTGTATCTCCCTAGACTATGTGCTGGAATCCTGTGGTATAATCACCCAAACTCATTTGGCACCGAGTCCATCCTGACTCCTCGTGACCCTACGGACCGGGCAGAAGTGCTCCTGCTGGTTCCTGCGACGGTCCTTCTTCACAGGAGTGGAACGCTTTGTCTTTCACCTGCTGAGGAGCTGATGGTTTCAAACTGCTGACCTTGTGGTTAGTGGCCGAACCTGTAACCACTAAGCCGCCACGGCTCCTCGGCTGTGGAAAAGGGCATCGTGCTTGGTAAAACAGAGCGGCAGCAAAAGAGAAGCAGACTTTCAACAAGATGGATGGACATAGTGGCTACTACAGTGGGCTTGAACATGAGAACCACAGTGAGGCTGGCACAGGCCCACGGGGTGCTTACTTCCTTTGTACAGAGGGTTGCTACGATTAGGAACCGACACTATAGCATCCAACCACCACCACCACCACCTTCCCTGAACTTCCTTTGTGCTCCTGTAAGGAGTTACCCCAAACCAAACCAGACTCACTGCCTTTGAATCAATGCCGACCTCACAGGGCAGGGCAGGGTAGAACTGTCCTGCTGGCTTCTAAGACTATTCACAGGAGCTAAGGATTGGCTGGCTTCAGACCTCCGAATTTTCAGATTGCAGACCAATGCCGAACCATTACCCCACCAGGATCCTTTGTAAAGGGTTACAGCTAACCCGTGATGAGTATTATTTTTGAATTGTGTGGCCATTGCAATGGATTATAGTATCCTAACAGAGACGTAGGTAGTGCCTTGGGAAGGTGGACGTCTGAATTTGTAATGACGGCTAGAGACTGGCCACCCACCTCTGACCTCCGCCTTGGGATGGTACTGAGTCTGACTCTCCGTCCCCCTTATGAAAGTCAGAGGAGGTCTGAAGGTCTCCCTTTACAAGCCCTAGCCTGATTTTTAGTGAATGTCATGCTGTTTGAAGCTATCTGTCCCTTTGTTATGTTAATGAGACCACACCAATCTAGGGTGTTTCTTAAAGGTAATCACATCAGAATTATGAAAGGAGCTTATGAGACACAGATTTGGGTGCCTCCTGGGGAGGAGAGAGGCCGACTGAAGCGCACCAAGAACCCATGCTCAGGGCGCCCATTCAAGGAGATAGCAGGACTGAGCCATTTCATTTGAGCTTTTGGCTTCGAGAACCATCAGAAAATAAAATTTGGATTTGAAAGCCACTCACTTCTAATGGTGCTACAGCAGAACAAGCTAAATACAACAATTTTACCAACTGTAATTTTTCACCTCGAAATATCCATTTAAATAACTGTCCTAATGACCTAAGCACCTTTGTGGCCAGGTGAATTGTGCATTGCGCCCCTCACCACAAGATCAGCAGTTTGAAACCCCCCATCAGCTTCTCAGGAGAAAGAGGTGGCTTTCTGCTCCTATGAACTAACCCACAGGGCAGTTCTTCCCTGTTCTACAGAGTTGCTGAGTTATAATTGACTACCTGCTCTTGGCAGTGAGATTGTTTTCTTTTTCCATTTTTGGTTTTTGTTTTTTGATTACTTAGAACCTTGTTTGTCTGGAGGGAGATCCTGCCTGATTTGTTTACTCTCGCCTCATTTTCTAGCATAATGTTCTACACAGGAAAGATTTTCAACAATTATATTTGGATTAAGTAATGCTGTGGCAGTTACATAGTCTCCTGTTCAATTTGGGAAGGGGTGGAGTCTAGCCTGTCAATCAGATCGCAGCTTGATGGCCTCATTTGGAGGCGTGAAGGAGATAAATAGCTCACTGGAGGCCAGATACACTCACTCCCTGCAAGACATTCTTGTTGACAAGCCAGATGGAGCTACACTGATGCAGCCAGAGCCCTGGAGCTGAAGGAGCCACATGGAGACCCACACCAGCACTGAGAAACTTCTACCACCACTGGATCCACAAGACTTTCCACCCACTGGCCTGTAATCTTCCTGCATTTGGTATGATTACATGGCTGCGTGAGTCTGAAGAGGAAATTTATGGACCAGTATCAATATATGGGCTATATATATATTGGACTTATGGACTTGATCTGGACTGGGCTTGAATATTTTCTTAATGTACAATTGCTCTTTCATACAAAGTTCTCTCTCACACATGCATGAGTGTCTATGAATTTATTTCTCTGTTCTACCCGGACTGACACAAATGTTTTCAATAGCTTTGAGCAACATTTAATTGCACGTACATGTCCATCTTCCCAAGCCTTCTGTGCGGTGCCACACTGATATTCCATTTCACCACTTACTTGTTGACAGTCATCTTTTACTAGCTTCCCCACTTCAGACTGCTTGGTCTCCAAAGCTTTGTAATATCTGGCTCCATTTCTACTTGTCCCCCAGATAAATTGCCTGCTCTTGGGTTCCACATGAGGGGGGACCTCTGTCTACCTTCCCTGACAGTGTTGCACGATGTGGTTTAGGGAATGCTCCTGTCAGTCAGAATCCTCCCTTTTCCCAAATATGACCCCTTCACTACCCTTTCTGCAGCCCCTCTTTCCCTCAACTGAACTCCCATACGTAGGCAGAACTCACTGTGGTGCTTCCATCTGCCAGGAAACAGTTTGACAGGCAGAGTAATGAGACATGTCTGTTCTCAGGGAGTCCTGCGCAGGAAGAAGATGCATCCATGAGTGAGTATGGGGAAACTTGCTGGGGTCCTAATACATGTGTACATTAACCATTCAAGAGCAGGCAGCCCATTTTTAGCAGGTAAAAGACCATGACTTATTTTTCAATTCGCAATCACCACCCAGCTACTGTTATTATTGAGTTGATTCCAATTCTCAGTGCTCCCACAGAGTGTAAATCATTGCCAGAGCAGCCAGTCCCATCTTGCTCCTGAGCAGCAGCTGCTGGTTTGAACTGCCTACCTTGCAGTTAGCAGTCCAAAGCCTTGCAGGTCACAGTGCCACCAGGGCTCCTTAATCAACCTGAGGGAAGAGGTCTTTGCATTTGAAAATTGAAAAATAAGTCACGGTCATTAGAATTGTGCTATCAAGAGGGGTTGGCAAGGAGTATACTTTGAGCAGGGAGGTGGGGATGAGCAGAGGTGGGAAAACATGTCACTGCAGGCAGTATAAATCATCTGCCTTGGGTGGAAGAAAAGACAGATGCGACAAGCAAGGAGGAAAAGCCAACGACCACAGAGCTGGGGAAATTGATTGGGGCCTGATGGTCCAGGATCTTGGAGATTCCCAGAGTATGGACTTCTATCTTTTCTGCAGTCAGGAAGGAACCTGGGGCAAGATGCTTAAGTGCCCGAGTAACATGATCAAATTTGACTTTCGAATGATTGCATAGTGTTATTCAGCTTTCACAAGCACAGCTCCAGCCTGTGAGGGCAGCCCACCCACTGTGTGGGCTCGGAGACTTCCATATATTATGACCTTACGGGAAGGATGCATTTTCTTTTTCCCTCCTCTTCCTGCCAGTGAAAGTGGGTATTGGTTTGTTAAGCCCAAGTCATGTAATAGATATGCACTATATGTCTGTATCTGTATTTCCTAAATATCAAATCACCCAGATTGGATAGGCAAGGCAAATCCAAAACACGGGGGTGGATTAAATGGGACTCCATACAAGACATTGGATCTGTCTTTGAACAAGTATCCTCCCAATTTTCAAGCAAAGCGGGAGTTCCCCTCTGATCTCAGGCTGGCTTGCGCTCTGCTCCTTGGTGAAGGAGCTGAACAGCCGGGGAAGAAGCGTGCTGTGCTGTCAGCAGCTCCACTTAGCAATCCCTCGTAGTACAGTGACTGCCTCTTTGAAATGATGATGGAATGAGCCTTTCACAGACACTGGCTCCACAAACAACTTTTCAAGGATGTGTTTGCTGCCCTGAGGGAGCGAGGGCTCCATGCCTGTGGTGGGATGGCACAAGGGACCAGGGTCCCGGATGTCAAGAAAAAGGAGCCACGCTACAAAAAGACAACTGTAGATACAACTTAGAAACTGGTTTTACTCTGTTGCAAACAAATGGACAAGATATTGTACAATATATAATAAAAAGTACAGCATAGTAACAAGTGCCACTAACAAAAGAAACTTAAGAAGGCTTAAAAATGCTTATTTGTAATATATATATATATACACACACACACTGCAATAAAAAGCCACAATAAATACACACAATTCCATGTCATTCATAATAAATACTGAAAGTATAAATACAGAAGACTACAGCTAATGTGAATAAATTATTACAATGTAAGGTTTAGGTTAAGTTCCACTGAATATTATTGTAGCTTATCTTATATACCCTTTGGCATCTTTGATGTTGCACACAAGAGAAATCAACCTAGAAGTTCTGTCACAAACATGACATCTTTGTGTAAAATGACGGTCCATATGGACTGCAGTTTGATTTTCTTCCCTTTCACCCTCTGTAAGTGACTGGATTGAACATAACAGGAATACAATACCTACCAGAAGAGTAAACATGGCAATAAAATCAAGTGAAAAATAAACCAATCTTGATGTCAAAACAAACTATGTTACCAGTACAGTGGTTTTTCTGACATTTTCATTTATTTCTTTTTCCCCCCACCCGCAAAAAACCAACAACAGACACAATGCTCAGAAGACTTCCCTTGTGTAATGACCATTCCCCAAATCCAAATGGTTCAACACAGACTGAGGGATCACACCAAGTCTTTTTGATCTTTAGATCTACCATGACATTCAATGTCATCAGAATTTGCAAATGTACCAAGTTTGTGGCATCTGGAAAGGAGAGACAGTTGACGTCTACAACTACGATAAGATAAAGACACTGGGAAAGTTGGCATTTGCTTATGCAACCAAGTATACATAGATATGTATGTGTGCACGCGTGTGTGTTAAATGGGGGGAAATGCATGTTTGATCAATGCCAACTGACTTTTTTTTAATCCAATTGGTAGACCCTGTGACACTCGGGGGTGGGGTGGGGCACATGGAAACAGCAAAGGGCCATTGTCTGCATTAACAGGCATTAGCAGTAGATATGTGTTCATAGTTCTACCTTAAGAGGCTATTACACCAGAAATGCAATAAACTGAAAAAAGGAAAGCGGGTCAACTTTACTAAGACACAGCCAAAGCTGACGTTCTTAGGAACATTGTTGTAATCTACAGTTTTAACTTTTTATTTATTTATACTATTTCTGCACTGTAAATGTCTAGCGATTATTTTACATCAAACACTTTTGAAACATGTTTCACGAACTACGCTTCAGACTTATTTTCATAGAGGTGCTAAAGTAGATTAAAACGTGGGCCAAATGATTCAACATTCTTTACACTAGCATTCTGTAACTTTTTCTGTTGTTAAAGTGAGGAGGATCATTTCCCCCGAGTGCAGTTTGTGAAGGTCAACCACATCAGATGCGGCTGTGATGTCACCAGGCCATTGGAGTTGGGGAGATGCACAGCTGCACTGCACCACGGTTGTAAAACATCCCATAAAGAAAGGAAACATGGATTTGGGAGGTGCTCCTCATCGTCCGGTTTCTTCTGCTGCCGGGTTGCATCAAGTCCAAGCAAGTGGAGCAGGCTCTGAAAACTGTGGAGGAGGAGGGGCCGGAGGCAGGAGGCAGGCTCATATTGAGTGATGTGATCAGAAAAATATCACCACTCTCCAGGACTCCTCCTTTCGTTTTCAGGCCTTGTCAAGATGACAAATTTTAGAAATCATCTTTCTGATCCCTGAGAAAGCAAGCTGCCATTGTTTAGCTAACATGGGGACAAAGGCCGGGATCAAACGGTGGCTGAGTAAGTCTCTGGAGTCATTTTTAATTCCACGTCAGATTCTCCCCTGGAAGGGGGAGGGGGGTGGGCTTTAGAATCTTGTTTGTCATTTTAGGCTAAAGCAAGATGAACGAGAAGGTACTTATTTAGAAGCAGAAGGCAGCAGATGCTTGCTTTTTGCCATCGTAACTTCTCAGAAGAAAATTGAACAGTGTAAAAGTCAAGTCACTGAATCCTGGTCCTGAAGTTATGCTTGTCACTGGGGATTTGAAGCAGTCACCTTTTTCTCAAATTACCTCCACTCAGAAAAAAACAAAACAAAAATCAGCAATGACAAAAAGCACAGCCATTAGAATGAAAACCACCACAGCGTGTTTGTGGAAAGCAGTGTTGTGCCATCCTTGTCGAGCACTGTGCCAATACCCACATCTTTAGTAAAAGCTCAGATTTCCCCGGGGGCGTGTGGAATCCTCAATGTAATAATCACCAAAGGTAGGAGGGGATCCAACTTTCCTGGAGTTTCTTAGTACAATGGTCCAAATTACCACGACGGTTGCCAGGTGCTTAACCCACAAACACTGGCCAAGATATTTTCTTATTGTGAGAAAAAAACCTAAGAAAACTGGATTGGGTTGCCAAGGAAACCACTTTCCCTGGAGATGCTTAGAATAGATGAGTATCCTGTTGGGTATGCCTGGGCAACAGTCCTCCCTGGAGGTAGATGGATGAGTCAGATGACCTCTGGAGAGCTTGTCTAGTCTTAGAACTATAGATTTTAAAGAATGCATTATTTTCCAACTGTACACTTTGCACACACAGGGAGCCAGTGACCCTCCTTGAGAAGTTTAAGCTATTCTGAGATACCCCTTTGGCATGACTATTGTCGAAGGAACCAGAATCCAGACAGTAACCTTTGGCAATGGATTCTACTTGACTGTGGTATAAAGAAAACAATTCCGTTTGACCAAACTTTAAAAATCTCTGAAATCCAGATATTATTTAGATACCATTAAATTATGGAAGGATCCAACACTCTATAAATAGTACATATATCCTTGAATCCAGGCAGTGTAGTGACTGGGTACAGAGATTAGATTTTTCCTCTTTAAGAGAGTTTCAATTTGGGTTTTATTTCATTCTCTTGGAACACAGAATACATGCATTTGAATTTATTTTAAAGACAAAAGGCCTCAGGTAGGGGAAATCTTGGTAAAATATAAAGGAAGATAAAAAATTGGATAAAATGTGCTACAAAATTAAAAATTTCATATTCCTTTTTTCTATGTCCCCTAAGAAGAGACAACAATAAAACAACATTAGAAGCCTTCTCTCTTGGCAAGGAGTATAAACAGTTCTTACCCCATGAAACAGTAAAACGTGACGCATAGCTCTGGTAATGAAATGTCCTAGAAAATATTTAAAGAGCTGTTTACTAAATTAATTTCCTCCCAAATGCTCTTTAATAAATAACTTTCAAGATAATCCCAACCCAGACAAACAACAACAACAACAACGACAAAAACAACACTGGAAGAAAGTCAACAAAGAAAGGAAAAGTATACCCAATCAAGAAGCTATTCCAAAATTCTAACAAGATCCAACCAGGTCACATACACTAACTTAGACAAAGAAAAGGCTCATTCTACCATAAATTTGTTTTCTGTTAGCTTCTTCCAGTCAATAACAATTACCTTAAAGTATTTAAAGGGCCTCACTTAGGTCACCAGAACAGAGCTGACTGGGCCGCCACCATGTTTATACAAGGACGGACTTGTGTCACTAGTGTGTACTGAACACAAATATTGTTTACGATAAATTCTATCATATTTCTTTGACACTTTATTCCTGCCAGAAACTTTTATGAGCTAAGTGGCACAGGAGAGAGGATGCTACTGAATTGTGCAAGTGCAAAGTTAATACGTCCGAACTGATCACGAGAGAAAAGAAAGTCGTCTTCAACATGACTTGAATCTTTGCAACTCGTTCATTTCCCATGACTATAACAAGGATCTATATTTATTGAGATTTCAGGCTACTCATTAACAAGATTGTACACATCTTCATACAAAAGACAAGGAGAAGACATTCTGGTTTAGACTTTGGATCTACTTGCATGCACCTTCCTACCTTCCGTCCTTCTGCCTGAAGCACCACCCTCAGGACACAAAAGCAAAGACGTGTCATTTTCTAACCAGACAGACCAACTGAGAGGAACGCCAAGATGTCCGTGAAATGCAACCCCTAGCAACCTTTTAATTTTAAACTATAGAGACGACAAGCAAATAACATGCCTATAGTGGTGAGGAAGGGTGTCTTTAGTTTAAAGAGCACTCCACAAAACTAGCCTGAAATATTACAAGTATTCAAAATTAATACTGAGAAGTTACTATTTGAAAGAATCATGATGCATGCACAGATATGGCAGATTAAAATATTAAACTAGAGCTCTGGTATACTCCTAATGCCTCACTTTTCGTTAAGAATCCTCGTCAACGATCATCGCTTTAATAAAACACATGGTTAGAATTTCTTTGCAACAGTTTCTCTCTAGCATCTGGTAGTTTGTGTTTTAATTTTTGATGTTGTTTCAAGATAGTAAAATGTAGTGGACATCGATGTGTGGCAGTAGATGTGAACACCACTTGGGCCATTAGCGTGTCCACATCGACTGCCTTTTCTCGGTTTGGGGCTATTTGTGATTCTAGGTTTATAGTCTAAGACATAGCCCAGCTTTGCCAAACCCTTTAATAGTTCCTAGGTAACTCTGTTTAGCAATACACTGACCCAACCATCACATTTCCATCATTCCAGTGAGTTTTCAAATTGCCAATATTTAGTTAAGTCAAATCAATGAAGTTCCTTAATGCAACAGACATCATCTGATGCGCTGTGCTGTCTGTGCAAAGCGTGGCATTCTGGTCTAGGCATTTCTGTTTCTCTAGCACAAGTAGCAGAACACGGAGAAAGCAAGCAAGCAAGCAATGCAATCAGAAACTGCCAATGTGTATTGGAACCTAATAGGAATCAAGGCTTGAAGCCCTCACTGTTGGTTTCAGGAGAGAGCAGACAACCCCAATTCCAATCGACAGTCAAATTTCACATTGGGAAGCACAACCGGGCTTTTCATTGAGTTAGGAATTTATGCACGGACTGTAACAATGACACAAGACTGCAGGCTCCACGAGAGACCAAGAAGCAGACAGCACTGGAAAGAGAAATTCTGTTATTTGGGAGAAACGACAGGCTCCCGGGCACCTTTTAACAAATAAAGTCTCCTGTTGACCTTGAGAATGTCAATTCTCCACCCGGGTTAATTCGATAGCTTGGATCCCCAGTCAAAGGTGAGGGTGTGGACCGGCTTCTTTGTTTTATACCTGCTTCAAGGTGACCTGCCTTGGGAGGTTGGACCAAGGGTTTTGCTATATTGTTAGGCTTTCTAGAAACAGAATCCAGAGGGATTGTGTCCCATACTGTTGTTTCAGAGGTTTCCTGAAATCTTTCCTTGTATACATGAGGTACGCCTGCTTTTGAGTGTCTGATAGGAGTTTGCTGATATAAATTTAATATCACCTATGTAGATCTTTGAAGTTGCCATCAGGTGAAAATCATTTTCAGTTGGCTCAGTCTACGTCAAGCTCTGATTCGATGAATACATTTCAGCCAGGAGGGAGAGGATGAAGGAGGATCCAATGAGTTCTATTAATTTTGGACAAAGAAATGTCTTTTGAGCTGCAGCTTGCATATAACAAGAATTGATGCCAGCCTTTCCAGTTTCACTTTATAAAAGCACGTATTCAAAGAATTAAATGAAGCTTCCGTAGTTATTCCATGCCACCTGTCAGCATCATCACCATTACTATTATCGTCACCATCACCATCTTGAAAACTGGTTTGGCTCCCCCTACTCCTTCGATCATCTAAGACAGATCTAACACAGCAGTTATTCAAGAAATACTTGTTAAAAGAAAGAGTCACTACTTGACAAAATTTGAAGACTCGAAAGGTTATTGACTTACACCAGAGTATTAGAAATTTTAAAAACCGTATATCAACTTATAAGAAATAATTCACAATATATTTTTCCCATTTAATGACCACCAAACCAGGATTTTGCCTCAAAGTCCCCTGTTCCTGAGTGTAAACATTTCAGGAATAGGATCGCTTAGCTTAATCGCTTTGTCCCTAGAGGGTCATGTGACCAGTACTATGTGGTGGGCAGTTGGGCAGAGGTGTTGCTGCTGGGCTGCTGGGCCGGGTATGATTGTGAAGATACGACCGCTCTAATAAACAGGTCTTCTGCATTTCGTGTGTGCATAGCACACTGGCGGAAAAAATATAGTTTCACCATAAAGACATGGTTGACTGTCAAAAACGGACTGTATCATCCAATGAATTAATAGACATAGACAAACAGATATGACTTACATCTTAAGCAGAGATCCTGGGTTGGAGGATGGGGTGAGGGTAGCAGATTTGAGTCAATCTCTTTCATTGACTTCTTCTCCCAGAGGAAATTGAGAATGACAAAGAGGATGCAAGCTGCTGCAGTCACTTGGCTTGCAGATCAATTTGGCTCCGATTATAAGTGAGAAGTAAGCCCTATTAAAAGGTATAGGGCTGGTGCTAAAATAACAGGGACTGGAGCTCGAAGCTTTGCCAATTGACAGTGAATGGCTAAAAAGCTGTGTGTCAAGAGAGACTATAATTTGATTGGATATAGTATGGGAGCAACACAACAGCTGCAGGCCAGGCCACTGTCTTGATAGAAAGATCTTTAGTACCCTAACTGTCTGCATCTAGCTTCATCCCCGTTTTTTAAAAAAAGCTTAGAATAACTGCAGCTAACTGTAGTGCTTTCCTGGCATGTGGGCAGTTTTTGATGAATAGAAAGGCTATTATTAGAAAGGCCAAACCAAAAAGAAAAGAAAAAAAAGAATGCTATGCTCTCTCAACTTTTCCGGGAAAAAGGTAACGATGAAAGAATTCCATCATTAGTATGATTTATGACTTTGACCCAGTATTTTCAAACCATAAAACCCAACAGCATTCTAGAATTAAAAAATGCAATAGTCATGATTGCCCATGGTCTAAAATGTGTTATCTTTCAATGTATGGTGTACTTGTTTGCCTCTATGCATATGCACGTTAGGGATATGTGGGTGTTTTAATAGGGAGTCTGTGTATGTAATTTGCGGGAGACAATTCGGATGAAGGCTATGTATATGAAAACCTGGAACAGTAGCTGTCCTGGTGGGAAGGCTAATGATTTTAAGTAGTGCAATGACTTTCGACTCGGATTGGACGGGAAAAGGAAGACACTCTGGTTTGTTTGTTCATTTGTTTGCCAGGTTTCATGTTAAGATTCTTTGGGCAATGAAGCCCCAAAGCAGTGACCTAGGCAAACCTAGACCAAACACCCAACCCACTGCTGTAACATTGATGTGAACTCACTACAACCCTATGGGGCGCCCTGGAGTTGGCTCTGACTCACCAACCCTATGTACAACAGAACAAAATACTGTCTGGCCTTGAATTTTTTAGGACATCTTAAAACTGTCCCATAACGTTTCTAAGGCTGTAAATCTTTACAGAAGCCACATGCCACGTCTTTCTTCTGCAGAGAGGTTGGTGGGCTTGAACCACTGACTTTCAACAAGCAACCAAGTGCTCTTTAGCCTTGGCCTTACCACAGTTCCTCACACAGGAACAAGTAGACTGAAAATAAAGCTGAACAAAACCAATTATCGATCCTTTCAAAGACTACCCTGTCATTCTGTCCTTCAACTCTGCCCCAGCAAGGATCGCCTGTTCTCTACTCCCCCCTCACTCTGTCTCCCAAGAAAGACCTCTGAGTGCTTCTGATGGTCCAGCAAATGTGGTACACATGATGCTTTTATGTACCGAATGAGGGAGTAACCCTTGTCACTTGAGCTTATGGTCTTTAGATTGTGTCTGCATGGAGATAAAACTTAGGGATCCGGCCTTACAACTATAAACGGTAGATTGAAAACAGCAATACCACCATCTGATTAGCCCAAGGCCTCCATTTCTCAAGAGCAACAGTCCCTGCCTCTCAGTGCTTCCTACTAGGGTAGACCCAAAGCTCTGTTACTGTCCATACTGATGATTGTGAATTTGGCCCAGTCTTGGGGAGAGAAGGGGCCGGAACCAACCACACGGCCAAAGAGCTGCCGCATAAACATGTTCACCCCAAATCAAATTTTAGTAGAAACTTTTCCACTGGAGGGCTTGGTCTAGATTAAACATTTTAGGTTCAATTAATGAAAACATTCTTTTAAAGGGATTTAGATCTACAGTCTGTTTAGATCTCAATTTATCAAAATCCTGATATACAAGACTTAAAAATAATCGCAATGCAGTCACTGAAAAGCAAGGCATGTCTACAATCAAATAGTCATAAAACATGTGATCATGATATAACATCAGACAGGCAAAACTGCAAAACAGGTTTAGCATAGTCGTTGCATTGAAATGACAAAGTAGAACCTGCTGTTGACTCCACTCCGTTTACAGAAAATGGGATCTCAGAAGTCCTCCAGTGGACCCAGTGCAGATAAGAAAGGTGGTGGTGGTGGTGGTGGTGGGGGAGTATGTTTTCTTTCTATCTGCACCCTTTTAATAAGCGAACATGAGGTAATTCAAGAGGATTCAATGCATTCCAGACTGTTCTGCGAGTTGTCTCAGGCAGGAGAAATCAAAATGCTTCAGAAAAGTAAGGCCTAGTTGAATATGTGGGTAGAGGCCCCCCCCCCTTCAATTGGCTCATCACTAAGTGGAAATCTCATCATATGCTTGATTTGCTGAGATGGATTGATCTCGCGGTAGAAAAGGCTGGTTACTGAGCGTGTGTCTTCCTCGTTTTCTCAGCCTCCTCTGCTTTTACTGAGTGAAGTCCTCAGCGGCGAAGGAAAATATGTCATTTTGTTTTCATCTTCACAAAGTTACTGGACGATTCCTCTATAGTAATTATATGAACCTTATAGTAGTTACAGATTTAGTATTATTTTTAACTTTTTGTTAAATCTCAAAAAGTTCTCAGCCCCCCACCCCTCACGAGGTATTGTGAAGGGGCACTAAAGTGCACTTGGCTGTAGTGGGGCAGAGTTTAAAGGTGCTGTCCAAGCTAAGAACCAAGATGGTGCTTTTTTAAAAAAACGAAAAAAAGGAAAGGCCATTCCTTCCCCTCCATGTCTGCAGTCAGCGGAGGGAGGGCACGGAACTACACCCTCATGGGAGGATTGTCCTAACTTCGCGTCAGAGAAAACTGTGTAAGGACCTGCACATATAGACTCGTCTATCTGTCCAAAATAGCAAAAATAGGCCTATTTCACCCATAAGAAAGTATTTGCAAAGCTGATCAGTCCATGATCATAAAAACGTGAGTGGATTCCAGATTCAATCCATGTGGGCATGCTTTGTGGTACCAACAATGCATCTTCAGCTGAAATGAACACACGGCTGTTCATTTCCATCAAAATGTGACTTCTAAGCTATCATAAATAAAATACGCATGGAACAATTAGATCTGTTTTTCCTTACAATAATTACTTTCACATTAAAAAGTCACCCTATTTCTCAGATATATTGAAAAGTAAGACTCTACATCCGATCCCTTCCCAGTCTTGGTCAACAATCTTGCACAGGCCCGATAAGCACAACTTGGAGCTCTGATCCACACAGCTTGGCGAGTTTCACACAGTTTGACGGGGAGGCAACTGTGAGAGATGCATTTTTTAAATTAGCATTTTCTATCAAAACCATCTTTTAAATCCTTATAGAGACCGTATTTGTGCAACGCCACAGCTATGTAGCTAGAAAGGGAAACAAAGAAAAAAGAAAAAAGGAAGCACACTCTGGCACATTAACCACAGTCCAAGTTTTCGTGATTCATAGTTTAAAGATGAAAAGCCCAGGCAATCCAATTAAATACAGCGCCTTCCATGGGGAGGGGGGGCTAGGGGAGGGATTGAGCCCAGAAATAACTGAAGCTACTAAACGGGGACGGTCTCCACCACGGGTGACTTCATGCACTCTTCGTGCAACCGGCTCTTGTCTGCAAGGCTCAGGGGGTTTTCAGAAGGATGCTCGGGGATGTGACTGTCACCATTCAACGTAGACACAAAGCCTTCCTGGGAGGGGCCTTTCAAGTAGGAGTGAAACTCCACTTGCGGGTGACTGGCCCTGTGTTCGGGGTATAAACTACCGCAGGGCACAGTGCTGTCACTTTCTGAGGACGAGCAGCAGACGATGACCGAGGGGTTGGTGGGCGGGTAGTGGGAGGCGCCGTAGGCCTCTTCGGCCTGGCGCGCATAGTCCACGAACTGCTCCGGGGTCATGGTGTAAGGCACCAGCGAGAGGGTACCGTTTTTGATGGTATCTCGTTCCGAATAGCTTTCTGAGATCGGGCTAGGAGTTCCTGGGATGTGCCTATCGATTTGGTAATAGAGAGTCGAAGAGTTGGCATAAAAGGAAGCGTTTTTCGCGTGGCTTTCGTGAACGGCGGTGCCATCAGAATAGCAAAGGACCGAAGGAAGGGGGACAACTTCAGCGTGGCTGCCCAAACCTTCCACAAAGCCGTCTCCTTTCTCGTCGTCATCGTCCTCCTCCTCCTCTTCCTCTTCCTCCTCCTCGTCCGACTCACTGGGCGCCAAGCTCTGCGTGCTAGAATCGGTGACTCCGCTGCAGAAGCTGCTCCCGTCCTCCTCCTCCTCCTCCTCTTCTTCCTCCTCAATTTGGCAATCTAATTCCTCAGCAGACTGCAGGTGCAGCACTGCGGCTTGGGGCTCAGTTTCAAGATCAAAGTTGTCTGCAATGGAATATTCTACGGAGTGAGAGACAGCGCCCATGGCACTACTGTGGGCACTTATCTCGCTGTGGCAGCCGTTCAGCGTGGGGATCGGCTGCTCGTGGTTCTTCTCCAGCTCAAGTTTCATGATTGTGTGCAAAAAGTGAGTCCGGACACGGATAGGATTGAATTCAATTCTACCTGCTGTGTTGCTACATCCTTCTTTAGTGCAGCCACAGGGGAAAGACATCCGATCCACCTTGGAAGGAAGAACACAGATTAGCCTCATGGAGTTAGTACAAACCAAATAAAAACCCCGGGTCTTCTGGCAAGCCCTCAGCATCTGAGATTACCTAATCCCAAGTGTGCAAGATCAATCGGCCATCCGACGGCATACGGAAAAGTGTACAACAATCGAGTTCTTTAAAACCTCTATTGCAAACGAACTCCCGGGCAGGAGCCTCCAGTGTGTGTCCAAGTGCTAAATGAAACGTTAGTGGTTTCGACTAACAGGGAGGTGGGCCGACCTGCTCCTGAAAACCCCAAGGAGTCCAGTGGGTCTCCATTAGTCAGAACTGACTCAGTGCAAGGGGTGGGTGCTTAAAATTTTTTTTTTAATATATTAAAAATGGAAATGGGTTATGTTTAGAAGTGGCGTCCATGGATTGTGCAAATGGTTCACACACTCGGCCGCTGACTGGAAAGTTGGAGCTCTGAGTCTTGACAGACAGGCCTGCCTGTTAAGTGATCTGCATCAGAAAACGGAGCCACTCAGTAGTGGTCTGAGACCCACACTGTTGACTGGACAGCAATGAGAATGCTTAGAAAGGTGCGTTTCTTCGTTCATTGGCTGCCCGGGTTTTTCTTTCTTCCCCCCCCCCCACCTTTTTCCACCCTTCCTCACTCCCCTTGTTCCCATCTCTTCAGCCACTCATTCTGCTTCCATGTTTTCAGTGCTTCTATCCTATCCCAAGCTCCCTTGCTTCTGCTGTGCCCCGGGCCATGGGGCTGGTTTTGAACGAGCACACTTACTATCCTCAGCCTCACCTGTTTGAAATGACCTTGTAGGACGTCCCCTATGCACACCCTACTCTCTTTCTTGCACTTGCTGTCCAAACCCAAACCAAACCGAACTCACTGCCATGGAGGCGGCTTCGCCTCACAGGGACCCTATACGACAGAGCAGAACTGCCCTCCGGGGTTTCAAAGACTTCGATACAATCTGGAGTAGACAGCCTTGTCTTTCTCCTGTGAAATGACTGCTGGGTTTGGATAACTGACATTACGGTCGGCAGCTCAGTTCTTAGCTTACTACGCCACCAGGGCACCTTTTCTTGCTGTCGCCCTTGTGAGATGAGCTGCTCAGGTCAAACTTTTAGGATTGCCACCACGTTGGCATCATGTGCCGGGATAATTCCCTCAGACGCTTACCTTCTCATGCTTTTGGGTCCTTCGCACCCAGGTGCATGTGCATGTACCACGTGACTGTGCTGGGTATGCACATCATAACTGTGGCTGAAGTTTCACTCCTGGCTCTCCTTCCTAAGATCTTGAGGGAAGGGCATGTTTATTTCCTCAATGTCCCCAAACTATTTGAATGACTGGGCTCACCAAGTGTTGGTGGAATGACCTGTCCACTGAAGTGATAGCCGGAATTGTGGGCAATCTAACCCAAACACCAAATTCCTGGCTAGCGAGACAATCTCAACTTATAGCGGACCCTGCAGAACAGAGTCGAATTGCCCTTTTGAGTTTGGGGGACTGTCAATCTTTAAGGGATTAGAAAGCCTCAGCTTTGGTGGTTTCAAATCTCTGCCCTTGTGACTAGCAGCTGGCACCCCCAGGGCTCCTTGGGCAGCAATCCAAGGGCACTGCTCACATTGGCACTCTGTGCTTCAGCCTCTACAAGTCAAAGGGCAGGCAACAGGAGACGTTGTGCCACTTGCTACCTGGGCATGTTCTGTGTTACAGAGGAGAAAACGGGCTAAAGTACAGTGACCCTGGTCCCCCTGGGGAGGAGCAGATGTCAGAGCTGGTCTCTACAGCTATTTTGCTACTCATGCATTTCTTTACTGTCTCTCTGCACTTGGTGAAGAATGTGCCTCTTCTCTCTATCTTCCTGCGTGGATCTCCTTATTGACAAAACTAACTTACGTTATAAAATAATAAGACCTAATTAATCATGGAGGGCCACAGCCATTAGAGATAGATGGAGACCTCGGAATCTCCTAGTCCAGAGGTTGGGCTTTGTTCTTTTTTAAAATTTATTTATTTATTTATTCATTCATTTATTTATTTATTTATTTATTTATTTCTGTGAAAGGTCAAAGATGAAATAGTTTAGGTTTTGTGGGCCTCCATGATTAATTATCTGGCCTAACAGTGTTCTGTGTTTGGGAAAATTCATCCGATGGAACATGACTACCTCTTTAAGAGAAGGCACAAAAATCCCTGCAAACCAAACGCTTACCTGGCACTTAATGCCTGCAAGGCTGCAGGTACACGTTTCTGGGTCACAGAACACGCGGCAGTCACAGCCACAGTCCTCACGCGACAGGCGGATGGCTCGCAGCTCATGTTTCTCTTCCACGTCAATCTTCTTGACTCCGGAGGCTCTCAGCAGTGCTCGGCGCTTTTTTGTTGGCAGGGGTTGTAGAAAGAAGTACTCATCGACCTCCGTGTTGTCTAAATCAATATCATCATCCGAAATGTCATCCACCGTGAGAGTGCTGGCTTCTTCGGACTCCACCGTGCCATTCTTAGTCATCTGGAAACACCAAGCAGTCAACAAGAGAACTCAGAATGGCCAGCGTTTACAGCCTCTGCTTTTGTACGGGTTAAGAATGAAACTGCGAGATAACAAGAAGTTCATGGGACATTTGAGTCAGTGTGTCCAGGCCTCAAATGATTTCCCCTGTATTTCTTCCTTGCTTGAATGAGAAGTCATAGGAAGGGAAGTAATAGCATGCAAAGACCAGCTTTCCACGGATACTGGTAGCAGGCAGAAAGCTCTTACTTTGAACTCTTAAACTCCTAATGTTAGAAGCTGTCGGAGCCCCTGTGAAGTAAGGGTTATGCGTTGGACTGCTAACCACAAGATCAGCAGTTCAAAACCACCAGCTAGCGCCAAGAGAGAACGATGAGGATTTCTACTCCTGTCATGAGTTCAAGTCTCAGAAACTCACAGGGGCAGTTCTGTCCTGGTACAGAGGGTCGCTATGAGTCAGAATTGACTGGATGGCTGTGAGTTTGGTTTGGTTTGGTTAGAAGCTGTTGTTATTGGAGCTTCTAGTCCAGGTGATGTGAAAAAACCAAGGCTACAGATGCCCATCAGTTTTATTCAACGTTTGACTCAGTTTGTGGAAGGGAAGTCCTGAGGACGCTCTTCAGAGGCATTAGCATCATAGTGGAAGGCATTGGTATCCGTTAAACAAATGCGTTATTCTTAAGGTAATGATGCCGACTTTCGTGCACCGGCAAAGCCATCACCTGCAACATAAAGCTATGCTGCATGGTGCTATCTGGATTACAAACATGATCACCCCAATGAACATTCCACCCACGGGAGCGTGTTTGAAGTCACCAGTCAGGTCAGCGTGCTCTCTGTAAGACCGGGAGCAGATGGCACTGCTGGTGAGCCCTCACCAACTGACAACTGAAATAATATCCTTGGCACTCAAAGGACTTCAAACAAACCTCTGCCTAATTCGTTACCTTCTGCATAATAGCTCCTGTGGACAACCGTCTTTCACCTCCCCATAGCTATACCGTCTCTATTTATATCCCTCTTCTACATGAATACCACCCATCGGTAAACCTCGAATCACTATTCCACTTCTGCTAAGCCACCATATATTATGTTTCTTTTTTTGGATACTTTTAGAAAAAGACATTTTCTCTATGAGCTAAGAAATGGATTCTGAGCAGCAGCATAGCCACACAACGTGGACACTTTGTAGCAGATTCATTGAGGAAGTCTGGAGATGTAGAAACTATCAACGATGAAAAATACAACTTTCCTCTAGTTCCTAAATGTTTCCTCCCTGCTCCCACTACCATGACTCCAATTCGACCTTGCAAGTCTGGCTAGACCAGAGGATGTACACTGGTACAGATAGGAACTGAAAATCCAGGGAATCCAGGGCGGATGAGCCCTACAGGACCAGTGGTGTGAGTGGCGAAACAGGGAGGGTAGAGGGAAAATGGGTAGGAAAGAGGGAACCGATTACAAGGAACTATATGTGACCTCCTCCCTGGGGGACGGACAACAGAAAAGTGGGTGAAGGGAGACGTCGGACAGGGCAAGATATGACAAAATAACAATTTATAAACTATCAAGGGCTCATGAGGGAGGGGGGAGCGGGGAGGGAGGGGAAAAATGAGGACCTAATGCCGGGGGTTTAAGTGGAGAGGAAATGTTTTGAGAATGATGAGGGCAATGAATGTACAAATGCGCTTTACACAATTGATGTGTGTATGGATTGGGATAAGAGTTGTATGAGCCCCTAATAAAATGATTTAAATAAAAAAAAAAAAAAACAACCTAAACCTAAAATTTTAAAAGGTTTGCCTCAAAAAACTCAACAACTGTGATTATCAGCATGGCTTTTTAATTTTAGTGACAGATTGGTCATTACAAGTTTAAATACTCTGCTGACAACACTTCTGCTTCATATTTGTAGGACACTTAAGAATATATTTTATTGGCCAAGGTGGCCAACTGAATGACTCTGAGTGGATAAGCCAGCTGAAAACTGCTCTTTGCCACAGAGGAAACAGCACCGTGCATATTAAAACATATTAACAAGAGGCCTTCAATTAAGTACCTTCAAAAGGTACTTAATTATCATGCAACAACAATTTCAGAGTATTTGGGGCTTAACTCTGTGTTCTTGTGTAGATGGACCCTCCCTGTTAAAGGGGCTAAATCTCAGTATAATCTACAATTCATTCCCTTCCTTGGTGCTCCTTACATACGTCGTGGCTAAATTCTTCTCATTTCTTCTACGTTGCTTTTTACCAGGCACTTGCTATCAATTTTACTAGTTCTTATTTATGATGAGTAGGTTATTTCTATCCCCAAAAAACTCATTTTGTAAGGAATTTGATCCATTTGGCTGCTAACTACAAGGTCAGTGGTTCGAACCCACCAATTGCTCTTTGAGTGAAACACGAGGCTGTCTACCCTACAACGATTGGAACCCCAAAGGGCCAGTTCTACTCTGTTTTATAAGGTCGCTAATATTGAAATTACCATGGACTGCTAAAAGGACAAACCTATCTGTTTTGGAAGAAGTACGGTCAGAATGCATCTTACAGACTTTGGATATGTTGTCAGAAGAGACCAGTCCCTGGAGAAGGACGTCATGCTTACTGAAGTGGAGGGGCAGTAGAAAGAGGAAGGCCTTCACCTTGATGGGTTGACACAGTGGCTGCAACAATGAGTTCAAGCCTAAGAACAATTATGAGGCTGGTGCAGGGCCAGGCAGTGTTTTGTTCTGTTGTCACAGGGTCACTATGAGTCAGAACTGACTTGATGGCACCTAATAGCAACAATAGGAGTCTAAATTTACAGCAAGATTTAGCATATACATTTAAAAAAAATTTAAACCATTTTATTGGGGGTTCGTACAGCTCTTATCACAATCCACACATCCATTTTGTCAAGCACATTTGTACATATGTTGCCATCAACATTTTCAAAACATTTTCTTTCTACTTGTGCCTTTGGTATCAGCTCATTTTCCCCCCTCTCCCTTGCCTCATGAACCCTTGATAATTTAGAATTTTTTTTTCCATGTCTTACACATACCGCTGTCTCCCTCCACCCACTTTTCTGTTGTCCGTCCCTCTGGGAGGAGGTTATATGTAGATCATTTTGATCAGTTCCCCTTTTCTCCCCCACCTTCCCTTTCCCCTCCTGGTATCACTACTCTCATTATTAGTCCTCAGGGGTTTATCTGTCCTGGATTCCCTGTGTTTCCAGCACTTATCTGTCCCAGTGTACATCCTCTTGTCTAGCCTGATTTGTAAGGTAGAATTGGGGTCATAATGATGTGGGGGAGAGGGAACATTAAAGAACAAGAGGAAAGTTGTATGTTTCATTGGTGCTATGCTGCACCCTGACTGGCTTGTCTCTTCCTTGTGGCCCTTCTGTAAGGGGATATCCAATTGTCTACAGATGGGCTTTGGGTCTCCACTCTGCACCCCCCCTCATTCATATTGATATGATTTTTTGTTCTGGGTCTTTGATACCTGATACCTGATCCCATCGACACCTCATGATCACACAGGCTGGTGTGCTTTCTCCATGTGGACTTGGTTGCTTCTCACTTAGATGGCCGCTTGTTTATCCTCAAGCCTTTAAGACCCCAGACACTATATCTTTTGATAGCCAGGCACCATCAGCCTTCTTTACCACATTTGCTTATGCACCCATTTTTGTCTTCAGCAATCATGGCGGGAAGGTGAGCATCACAGAATGCCGGGTTATTAGTGCAAAGTGTTGTTGCACTGAGGAGTACTTGAGTAGAAGCCCAATGTCTGTCCGCTACCTTAATACTTAACATATAAATATATGTACATAGATCGACTTCCCTATCATTATATGTAAATATATTTACATATGTACATGCCTGTATTTAGACCTCTATAAAGGTCCTTTGCTTCCTAGTTCTTTTCTCTATTTCCCTTTACTTTCCTCTTGTCCTATCATGTTCAGCCTTCATTCAGGTTTCAGTAATTCCTCTTAGGCACACTGCCCTTGATCAAGCCCCACAGGCATAAGCCCTTCTTGCCATCAATTTTAGACCACTTGTTCCCTGTCCCTGGGTTTGTTGACACACCCACCCTTCCTCCGCGCCAACCCCCCTTCCCCTCTCCCGTGTTCAAAACAAAAGAAACAAAACTACAACAATAATAAAAAGCCAACAACAAAAATTTTGATGGGTTGCCACGCCCTGACCCCAAAGTCTATTTTGGATATTCCCCAGGACTTCATTGCTTTGCTCCCCTTGCTGCTCTGTTGCACACCCTTAGTGTTTCGCCCTGGTGTGGTGTGGTCAGATTGGGCACAATCCCTGCACTGTGTCTCCAGTGTTGTCCCCTGTAATGCTATGGGTCAGTGCAGGATGTTGTGTTTCGTGGTGGGGCTGGCCCTATGCTCCTCTCTGTGCATTGGCTGCTTTGAGCAGAAATATCATCCTCGGGGCTGAGATGAAGATTTAACATATACTTAATCAAACATACACTCCATGGTAATTAAAGCTGCATTAACAAAGTGTTGCCTTTCTTTTCTTGTCAGGTCTGTGGTGTTTATATTTGTTCTCATCAATTTTTGCCTTGCCTATGTAAATCTCATTAAGCATTTACTTGATAACACGTGTAGAACATCCGGCAAGATGCATGCCAGTAACGCCCTCCCACTTCCATTCTCTTGTTCTCTGGTTTTCACCTGCCCTGAGCAGCTGGTGGAGTTTGAGCAGGGCCACAGCGAGTGCCTTTGGCCGCTAACAGAAAGCGTGGTGGTTGTAGTTCATCCAAAGAACTCACAGATCCTCTTTCAAACCGTCAGTCATTGTAGACCCTGTGGAGCTCAGCTCTGCTCTGACACACATGGAGACATTGTGAGTTGAAATGCACTCAGTGGGAACTGTGTGTGTGTGTGTGTGTGTGTGTGTTCAAGCACATTTGATAACATAACAACACAAATCTGCACTTTATGTGAACAGGATTTGATTTTTAAAATATTACCATCATATAATATGT